ACCTACAAAAAGAAGATATAAAAAAAGGAAATTTATTATTTTGTGCACTTACTACTTAAATAAGAATAAAATAAATACACAAAACAGCTATTTACAGAGGAAATATGGCTGTCCTTGCCCATCTTCAACATTATTGACCATCTTACATACACACTTCGAGCCCTCTGCCCCTTCCCTCTTCCTGGATTCACTCAGATGTCTTTAAAACTCACAGCCTGTGCACATGCACACACTTCTAGCCCCTCTGCCTCTTCCCTCTTCCTGGATTCACTCAGATGTCTTTAAAACTCACAGCCTGTGCACACACACACACTCTTCTAGCAGCCCCTCTGCCTCTTCCCTCTTCCCCAGCATCCTCCCCCACCCCACCTCAGCCACTCACCAGTTCTTTCTTCTTCTGTTTCTTCTTCTGAGAACTTTTTGGCAGCATGATGTGGATGGGCGGGGTGAGTGAAAGAGCGAACAAGGAGAGGGAGCGTTCCGGTATGGGGCCTCCTGACCAACGGGTATGGGAAGGCATGCTAAATTTCACCATCCGGTATGGCCGTACCGGTTGAAACTCACCCCTGATGTGTGTTTGTATACGCACATGTACACAAATAAAAACATACTAGGGTTTCGCTTCTTGAATCTTTCTTTCCACAAATAATTACTCAGAATGTGCGCGTAAAAGAGTCAAAGAGCTGTTTGTGGAAGAGAAATGTTGGTGAAGGTATTAATTAATTCTCTTTTTTTCTGCTTTTTGTGCTGTGTTCTCTCTGGTCAGTGCAGGTACTCCTCGACGTACAACCACAATAGATCCCAAAATTTCAATTGTTAAGCAAGACATTTGTTAAGTGAATTTTGCCCCATTTTACAACTTTCCTTGCCATAGTTGTTAAGTAAATCACTGCTATTGATAAGTTAGTAACTTGGTTGTTAAGTGAAACTGGCTTCCCCATTGACTTTGCTTGTCAGAGCAAAGGTGATCACATGACCCTGGGACACAGCAAAGGTCATAAATATGAACCAGTTGCCAAGCATCTGAATGTTGATCACATGATCGTGGGGGGGGGAGGGAAGGAAGGGAGAAATGTCTGTATTTCTTTATCCTGTCTTATTACTCTATTCTGTTTTGGAGTGAGCCATGTTCTTCAGAGCCCCACCCTTACAAATCACTCTTGCGTACCCACACACATTCCTTTGAAACACTCAAAACCTTGGTTTGCTTTTGTGCTCTAAAAAAATATTCTGACTCCCCTTATCAGTTTTGCAAAGTCTCATTTGCTGGGTGTGTCGGTAAACTCTACTCCTTAAAGATGATCTACTCTAATCCTTTGCATGCACCAGTTCATGTGCCTTATTTTAGGAAGTTGTAGATGAAACTTGTACATTTTGTTAAGGACGGCATCCTTGGTTTTCGTAGTTTGCAAACCTTGATCCTGTCTGACCCACTTTGAAGCATGGATGTTTCTGAATCAAGCTACTGCATTTTTGCTCAGTTGGATTCTGTTCAAGTGACTTCTTGAAGGACCCCAGACAGTAATGCACTTTCCTCTACAGCAGATTTGAAGCAGCCTGCTGTTGACTTCTATGCCCCTCTAATGATTACCTAGCTGTCTTGAGAATTCTGACCCTTTTCTGCGCAGACTAATTAGCTTTTTAGACTTCATTGTGATTCTATTTTTTTTTTAAGAAAAAATGTATGCAGGGTGTTTTTATATCTTTGTTGCTTAGTTCTGAGTATAATTGCACATTATCAATATATAATGTCAGTATTTGCAAACTACGGTTGATGCTGTTTCTAATTGCTGCTATTTTTCCCACAATGAATTAGTTTGGCAAGGTACGTTGGGGGAGTGACCGTTATTAGGAAGCATGTTTAGTATGTGAGGGCCAGACACACTTAAAGGTCATCTTTTATTCCTATTAGTGCAAATGGATTTAAGCTTCAAGAAGTACAGTATTGTAGCTGTGAGGCTGAAGAAAATGAAGTTCTTGACCTATTGCAAATGTAATGCCACAGATGGAATATCAGCACAGCTTAATTAGTAATTTCAAACTTTGCCTGTTTACCAAAATATGTGTGTTCCATCTGCTTTATAGCCATTCTGGTACTTTAGTTTAGAAAATAATCTCTTGTTTCCCAATCTGCTTTAAGTGGATTAAGGCATGTTGCTGATTTGCTCTCCCCGCTTTATGCATGGTAAGTGAATTATTGCAGGAGGGAAATGTTCTCCAAAGTCATCCTGTATTGCCTTGGGTTGAAATTAATTGGTACCAGAAACTCAATTGTAAAAGCTCCTCTAAAAACTGAATACAATGAAAATTCAGGTTGGAAGAAATGGAAGAAATAGTAAGACTGCCTTTAATTCTCTCTTTTTTTTTAATTAAATATGAAATATGTCAGAAAGTTTTCCTGCTGTTTTTATAATTTTCAAATTGTCATTGATAAACCTGCTGTTAGCAAAAACTTCCTGGTTTAAAAGAACTTACAACATACTAAGTTAAGGATTTTTGCAAATGTTGCACTTTTTCATATTGCTTCATAAATGTCAGTTTATTCAGTATTAATTCCAGTATATTTAGAAGTCAAGCAAGTTCTTCTTGCATTCTGTTTCAAAATGTATTGTTAACTGTTCTATGATGATGGGTTGTTGCATTTCCAATTTTGACTGATGCAGGAAAACTTATTTTTCTCTTCGAAATGTAGGATTTGTTGCCTAAACATATTGTTTCTGACTTTTATATGCATATATTTATTTACATAGTATGATGTTTGTGATTTCTTTGACTATCCAACGTTGAACCAGTCTTGCCAACAAAACCATCAAACATTTCCTATTTCTCTACTCTTCTTGTTTTTTAATTTTTACTTTTTTAAATAATACACTTTTGAAAAAAAAAATCTCTTAATGGGAAACCTGGCACTGTCTGTCTTCTCTGTTCTGCAGAAATGTTGAAGGAGTTGAACCAGCAACGCAGAGCGAAAGAGTTTACAGACCTGAAAATTATTGTTGAAGGCAAAGAGTTTGAAGTCCACCAAAATGTTCTAGCTTCCTGCAGCTTGTATTTCAAGGACCTGATTAAAAGGTTTGCCTTCCTTCCAGCTGTGATCTGGTCTGTTCTTTTGTAGGACGCATTTGTGTGGCTTTTTTTTCCTCCCCTCTCTTTCAGGTTTATGAAGATTTGACTCTCCTGTCACAGAGCCAGTAGCCATTCTTTCCACTTACTCTGAATGTATTTTTTTCAAACAAAAGACTCAGATTCATTTCTTACACATAAGCTGATCTGCACAATTCCAGATCTCATTATTTGCACATTTTGGCTGAAGAGAGATGCTCTGTCATGGAGCATTTTAAAATCAAACTCAAACAACTGAAAAACAGTGTTGATCACAAAACACAACTTATTAGGTTAATACTTTAAAAAAGGGATACTACTAACTCTTCCTCCAGGCTGCAATAACCAATATTATTTTAAAATTGCCAAGTATTCATACTAACAAAGATTGTGTTGTATAATAGACATTTAAACCTTTGGACGTTGGCGTTTGGGACATCTGATGCTTGTGGAATTGAAAAAGGTGAATCAAATATTGAAGTCACACCTTTTTAGCATGATTTTATGAAAAAAGAGAGAGAATTTTAACTTTAAAAAAAAAATCCTGAATTCTTTCTACTTGATAGAGTAATTGTTCCCCTCCTTGACCAAGTAGTGTGTCAGGCCTGCCATAGTGTCTTTGTCTAAATTTCCATCTTTGCAATTTTCTCCCTCCATCTGATTGTAACATTGCATGATAACGGTTTATTTACCATTACATGGATTATTTTAGAATGTGTTTCCATCATAAATTCATGATATTTTTACAGTATTAGCAAATCAACATAGCAAGATTGGGGGAACCCAGAAGAATGCAGTAATGTTCATATTTCTAGAGTCATCAGCAAATTAATCTGGATCCTGATTTCCACCTCGCTGTATTTTCCAGAACAGACACTGAACCTGGATTGTACGAAAAGAGAAAAAAATGGGGATTGCAAAACATTGAGTTGGCTTTCAAATTGAGCTTTTAAACATTGTCACTAACACAGTAGTGGCTATATTTTATTCCAGGGTTGCATTTTTGCTGTATCTTCTTTTTCTGAGAAACAGAAAAATATCCTTTCATTAAAGCTTGTTTTTTTGTTTGTTTTTAAATAATTGTGGTGACACTATACTATTGTTGTATAGCTGAACTAACTGCCTTATCAATTATTCAGAAAGAGTTGAGCTAGTATCATACTTTTCCCCTTCCATAAACCAAATTATAGCTAGCTTTAGTTGCTCTTGGATTCTATATTCCTGCCTGCTCATTATCACTTACTAGTGAAGGTTACATTATATGCCTCTTGCCAAGATGAGATATATATTCTGCAGGGAAAGTCTTTGGCTCCATTGATAAAAAAAATCATGTAATTGACTAGCCTTGTAGTATCACTAATTTAATTGCTCTTCCTTGCTACTCAGGTTGTCAGATACCATCTGTTTCTGGAGAAAATCAGGTCTGAATTCAGTAATAATTGTAGAATACTTTAAGACAAATCACTGATAACCTCCTAATGGTTTTTCTTGCAATTTTAGCATCTTCAACTTTTGTGAGCCTCCTTTAAACAATTTAACAAAAGATGAGATGAAATGCTTGAATTAAGCAATTCAATGAATGCATCTGGATGATACTTCTGGGACTTTTTTTTATAACTTACAAAATTCTTCCCTATTATTGCCAGGACCTGATAATGTAGTGCCTGCCACTTTCTATTGGTTAACATTATTTGCTATCAATCACATTTCGCCTATTAAGAAAACCCCAGATGCCCTGAACACAAATATGTTAGGACAGTCCTGACCATGCACCCTGTATATAACATAGGTGCATCCACTTTGTACCTAACCCACCCTTCGTTTCACACTAACCTTTCAGAAATTGTCCTTCCAGGACAATAACATTTTCATATGTATCAATATGAATGTGAAGATAAAATTAACAAGAAGAGACTCACAATTCTTCATAACTAAAGATGGATGAACAATGGGACTTGGTAGCTAAAGGAAAAGAACTATCACTAAATTAACATCTTCTGACAGATATACTTGTATATATAAGTGAGACTGGATACATATCGTTATAGATCGTATTTTCCATTACTCTAGTTCAGTGGTTCCCAAACTTGGCAACTTTAAGACTTGTGGACTTCAACTCCCAGAATTCTCCAGCTAGCTCTTCTGGCTGGAGACCTCTGGGAGTTGAAGTCCACAAGTCTTAAAGTTGCCAAATTTGGGAACCACTGCTCTAGTTAGAACTAAAAAGTCTTTATAAGACTTTTTCTGACTCCTGCATTCTCTCATATATAAATATATAAATACAAACAGCAAGAGATGCAAACAGAGTAAAACTTAAAGATGAAAAACCAAAATGGCTTAACAAGGATAAGCATGAGTTCTCTGTTAAAATGGGGCTTTTAGTTAGGAAGAAATAATGGGTGTAATTACACCCAAATAGTTTTTTTAAAAAACTTGTAGAGCAAATACACCAGTGGTGGGTTATGACCGGTACGCCCCAGTATGGGCGTACTGGTGCCTGCTGGGAGCACCAGGTACCATTCCGGTATGATGCTCCAGAGGGCTCACCCGCCCACCCACACTCCTTACCAGTATTTGACCTCTTTGGCACTTACGTCAAGCAGCTGGAGCGTCGCAGAGGCGTTGCAGAGCATCACAGGAGATAAGGACGCAGGCACATATGTGTGCGCGTGTTGTGCGCATTCATGTGGTGGATGCTGGGCCCCGTTGCACCATACCAGTTGCACTGGGATCCGTAACCCACCACTGAAATACACAAAGGTGTGTTTTAGAATGAAGAAGCAGCGAATGATTGGAGGAGAGATCCCCATAGATATGCCCAAAATTGCAGTCTTTATCAAAGGCTTTATCACAGGCTTCCAAATATGGAATATTATATGTTGGAGCATTATGGGTGGAAACCATTCTTATGGTGAATGAGAAGATCAGACATTAGCACTGTTTCAGTCATTGATTTTGAGCTAGAACTCTATGTTACAGTGCTGTACAGCAAACACGGTGTCCCAAATAAATGTCAGCTGAATACCAACATGTTTGTGTAGGAAATACAATTCTGGAGAAGAATGTTGGGAAAGACTCCTTTGAAACTATGTGTATAGTTTTGGGAACCTGTGTTTGCTGTACACCATATATTTAATAAATTTCTTAGCCAATTTTCAACACTGCAGTATTCTCAGATGTATATTGTAAATTTATGTGAACAGAATTGGAAATTGGCTGGAATTTCATTCCACTTCCTTTCAGGCAGGTTTTTACATCCTTTCAGGCATATACAGTTCGAATGTTCCTGTATCCATTTCTCCTTCAATTACTTTGGGCATTGCATTGTGTATGAACAGAGATGCCAGAACTGCAGTTCTTCCAATTGTTGGGGGGGTGTGTGTTTGTGGGTGGGTTACATTTTAACTATGGTTATATCATAAGAGGTATTTATGTCATAAGAGATATGAATAACTATTATCCATCTGTAGGTAGGTCAATAAGACAACTCTGCACACACAGATACAACACATATGTATATGTCTTTGTGTATTTAGTTATCAGCTATAGTCCCTATAAATTGTGCTTCAGATTGAAATATTTCCCTTTATACACACTGGTAGAAAATAACTTGAAATTAATTTCAAGTTCTAAATATTGATGGTGTGGTTTTTTTTTAAATTATTTGCTGCTTTTGAAACTTACAAGAACATCCTACTCGTCTACATGGAAAGTTTATTGAAGTTTCAAATCTAACTTTCTTATTATATTGGTGTCAGCATCTTGTGAAAGTGTTCACACTTTTTAGGTCACAAGCCAAAAAATACTAGCAAAATCTAATATTGGTTCAGGCATGGTAGAAGTGGGTCAAGAGAATTTGCTGAAATGAATCAATAACTAATTAAATAGTAACATCTGTGTTTTAATGGGGACATGAAATGGACATCCCCTGGACAACAGTAATATCATCATTTAATCACCAGAGGTGCTTTTTCAAGGGGCAACTGGACTTTATTATTTTTTCCTTAAAGGCATTTCACTTCTCATCCAAGAAGCTTCTTTAGCTTCTTGGATGAGAAGTAAAGCGTCTTCAAACAAAAAAATCCTTCGGGACATCCATGATCTGGTTGATTGAGAATCTCTATAGATCCTCACCATTTAATCCTTCCAACTCAGAAGCGCCTCAGTGCTTCCAACACAAAAGCAGCAACTTGTTTGTGTTTGGTCTGTCCTGTTAATGATAATTCTTTAATTATATCCCAGATGTTTGTTTAAGCTTATTCCATGTATTCAAACAGATTGGTTCTTTATGTATTACATTTATATGCCGCCTGACTCCTGGTGACTTCCAAAACTGAACGTATATAAGCCCTATTAATTTCTGCAGAAGGTCGCTGCATCCTGTAATGATTTTCTTTATAAAACCACGTGAAGCCATACTTTAGGCCTCCTTTATTAAGATTCAGCGCACTTGGGAAAACAAAGCTAGAAATAATTATGTACTTGTTTAGCCAAGTCCTAGTTTTCATCTGTTTTCAATTTGCACTTTTAGTGAGAGTATCTAAAACTGAGTAAATACTAAATCTGCTAAATGCCTGTTGGTACACAACAAAATTAGCAGTGAAATTAACAGCCATTGAGCACAACACAATTAACCAAGACACTCGGCCATCTGAGGCGAGGGGTAGCAAATACTGTCAAAACTTTGGAGACTATCCAAACCCATCCTAGTCATTTTGGAAGCAAATCAGAAAAACCCACAAACGCTTCTCCCCTTACCTGGCAATAAAAGTATATGAATGACAAATTAACACTGTACTCCTTTTCATGATGCTAAAAGTCTGCTAGTTTAGATGGCTTGCCTTATTCTAACTTCCACTGTCCCGGCCTTAGGTACATACTCCTGTGGTTTCCCAGCCAGCGTGGAGATTAGTCCAGCACTTCCAGAAGACAGAATATTAAAGAGGGATATGTTTATACGTTTATTAGGACTTGTATGCCGCTCACTCTCGAGAGACTCAGGGCGGCTTACAGATAAAGCAGGGAAGGGGAACATATAAAAATTTAAAAGTACAGACATTAAAATCGCACAACATTCATAACATAAAATGGGGCTGGATGAATCAACAGC